ATAGTAATCATTTCTAATTAACTTTTGGCGTTTAAAAAGATTCTACAATAGAAATATTCAGAATTTAATTAATTTTAATAATTATATATCTAAAAAAACCAATAAAAAAAAAGTTGCTAAAAAGATTTACTCAATTTAGTGTATTATATAATTTGATTATAATTGTAAAAATCCATCGTTAAATTCAGGTGAAACTAAAAATCATTTTTTTTTTTAAATTTATGATTTATATAGCAACATGTTACAAAAAAACTAGTAGTAGCACTCACAAATAAAGTTAAAAAATTAATAAATTACAAAGTAAAATTATTTATTTTTGTAGTTGAATACTGTTATCATATCAAATCTAATTCGACAATGGATACTTTAAGAATATTAGAAATTAATGATTTTAATTGTTTGTATGGAAAAAGCTGGTTAAGCTACTTGTTATTTGAATAAGGTATATTTTTTCGATTTTTAACAGTAATAACTTAAACTAAATAAGAATTGTAATCATTTGACGTATCGTTGAAATAGTAGGTCTAGTGAGGGTTGCAAAATAAATCGTAGCAACAAAAAGAACCACATAGTAAAATAATATTAACATGAATATAAATTTCTTCTCACAAGGGGAAACTATAGTGATAGGATCCCTTATATTCATTGAAGTTATTGAATCTAAATGAGATAAATATCAAATGATTTAAAAATTTTATTCTAACTCAAAAAAAAAATGCAAAATATTAATAGCCAGAGACGGATTTGAACCTCGTACCCTAAACGTAGAAGACAAGAGTTACCGACTCGGCAACTGTTCGTTACTTTCGTCACTTGATAAAATGGGCTATTTATGCTTACTCAAATTTAAAAATTACTTTTTCGACTTTAAAATAAAGTAGGGGTGTAAAGTATGATTGCCATACCCTCCTATCCCACATGTTGTGGGTTTACCCTGTCCTAGGTGGACGGGCGGTGTAAACGGCTATTTAGATATGGTTAAAGGCATAGTCCCCCCACCCACATGTTGTGGTTTCCCTGTCCTAGGTGGACGGGCGGTGTAAACGGTCGGGGGGATATGATGAACGGCATAGGGCCCCCTTCCCGTGAAAGGGTAAAGAGTGGAGGGCTCTCTTATGACAGTAGATATCACAAGTATGGGGAGTACATAAGAAGAGGGGCTATGAAAGAATGAATAGTTTATTAGAAATTACTTAATAAACTGTAATTAATAAGTAATTATAAGTTGAAAATGTTTAAGTGATGAAGAAAAGAGTTAGTATACGGGGATATGTGTCCTATGATTTGCTGACCCTCCTATTAAAATATGTGATTTTTCCGCATAAAAGAAGGATTATTACTCGAGTAAAATTAATAGTGTTGTGTCAGTTAAACGCCTTAAAAATGTTTTCTTGTGACAAGTGTGAAAAAGTGTTTGCATTCAAACATGGACTGGTACGTCATCAAAAGAGTCATGATGGTATACGATTTAAGTGTTATTTATGCCCATCTACTACTTTTTCGGATAAATGGGCACTCTGGCGTCGTGTTAAGACAATTCATCGTGAGTATTACAATTGTTTATTTAGTAAAATAGTAATATGAAAAGAGAAAATATATTAGTAGAGTGTTAATATAAGTGTATTATTTTAGATCTCGTAAAGTATGGTGTGGACTATAATATTGCTATTGGAAATCATGCAGATTCGAGAGCTATGTCAACGACTGGTAAGTAAAGAAAATATATTATTAAAAATTTATATGCTAAAATTAATACATGAATATTTGTTTTTAGAAAATGTAAATGTTGTGGAGAGAATGCAGGCAGGCCCCAGTACAAGTCCACATTTGTCTGAAAAACTAGATGGGCATAAATAACACTTAGATCGTATACCATCATGGATTTTTCTATGTCTCATCAAACAGTTTTTGGCGACATACACTTTTTCACACTTGTCACAAGAAAACATTTTTAAGGCGTTTAACTGACACAACACTATTAATTTTACTCGAGTAATAATCCTTCTTTTATGCGGAAAAATCACATATTTTCATAGGAGGGTCAGCAAATCATAGGTCACATATCCCCGTATACTAACTCTTTTCTTCTTCACTTAAGTAATTTCACTTTAATATCATAATAATTAATTTTAAACTTTCGATTTCTAAACATTTGTATACAAATATATGTAATAGGTTATGTGTATACATGTTTTATACAATAACGATTACACATTAACAAAAAAATGTCTATTAACAAACGCGGTAGTGTGACTGAATAATCAAAAAAGAATTTGATAAAATATTATTTCAAACGAATAAATATTTTCTCTATAATTAAAAAATAACTCAATTCTTATAAAATAGTATAATATTGTACATATTTATTTATTTACTTTAATATCATAATAATGATCACCTTATGATGAGTTTCATTATCACCTCCCCTTCTATGTAGGGGTAAACCGCTGATTTACTGTTTTAATACATACGTCAGTCAAGTAAGAGGGCTCTCTATGACCAAAGGCCTACACATCGCATAGCTATAGTTGGGTTTCGTTGGATTAATAGCCGCCGTCGTCCCTTGATTACACCTTTCACTTTCTGCATTCAAATATTTTCAAATAATTCTAAAATTATGTAATTTTTAAAATACCTCTAATTTTCTGTCATATATCAAGATATACTACATGATGTTCCATCTATCTCGGTATACTATGCATATACCAAGGTAACATGTACCATGGTATAACGAAATGATATCTAGGAACGAGAAACATCGACCTTTCACCATATCCCCCCGGCCGTTTACACCACCCGTAAAACCTAGGACAGGGTAAACACACATCATGTGGGTGGGTGAGGGCGACTGCAGGGAGTGGTGGTGACCAAGCCACTCCCACCGGTGAAATAGCCGGGAGGGTATTGGCAATGGACAGCTTGGAACCTGGAACGGACTTGACTGGCTTCCGGAGGGGGAGGTCGACGGATGACGCGGCCTCCCTCTTCAGGGACTTGGCCCTCAAGGCCAAAACCGAGCAGGGTTTCGGGGTGGCGGTGAGTTTGGACATCCGAAACGCGTTCAACTCCGTGCGATGGTCACACATCCTCGGAGCTCTGGACGCGTTTCGGGTGCCTCCTTACCTCGGGCGGATGATCCAGTCGTACTTTAGCGATCGGGTCATCTCTTACGAGAGCGCCGTGGGCCCGAGAATCCTACCTGTTACGGGAGGCGTCCCGCAAGGGTCGGTTCTCGGGCCTCTGCTGGGGGTGGAGATCCCGCTTAAGGACTCCATGACTTATCTGGGCCTTGTCATAGACAAACGTCTAAAGTTCGGGCCGCACATTACTCGTGCGGCCCAGCGGGCCCAGAAAGTCATGAATTGCTTGGCGGGACTCATGCCCAATCTGGGAGGGCCGAGAGAGATGCGGCGTAGACTTTTAGTCAGCGTCGTACATTTGGTTCTCCTGTACGGGTCCCCGGTTTGGGCGGATACTCTTGAGTATTCGTCCAAAAACCGTGAAGCCCTGCTCAGGGTGCAAAGGCGGGCGGCGATCCGGACAGTTTCGGCTTACCGAACGGTGTCCGGAGTGGCGGCGGGTATCCTGTCGTCATTGCCGCCCGCCGATCTGCTCGCCGAGGAACGCGCCGCCGGGCATGAGCTCCGCCGAGAGCACAACCGGTCCCTCGAACCCGAGGACCAGCTGGCGCTCAGGCGGATGACCATGCTTCGGTGGCGGACTCGCCTCTCGGAGGAAACGAGAGGCGAGTGGACCAGGTCCCTCATAGGACCCGATCGGCTGGACAGGTGGGTGGACCGGACTCACGGTGAGATGACTTATCGTCTCACCCAAGTGATGTCCGGCCACGGCTGCTTTAACGAGTACTTACACCGTATTCGTAAAGCAGCCGCGCCGACGTGCGACCACTGTTCGGATCGCCCGGGAGAGGCTGATAGCGCTTTGCACACCCTCTTCCGGTGCGAGGCGTGGGCCCAGGAACGGGACTCTTTGGAGTCTCGACTAGGGTCCACGTTCCGAGTCGGGTCCATGGTGGACCTGATGTTGAGGAGCCGGGAGGCGTGGAGGCTCGTCCAGGTGTTCGCCGAATCCATCTTGAAAAAGAAGGAGGAAGCTGAACGCCTGAGACAGAGGCAGCCGCGCCGCCCGGTACAGGAGGACCTAAGGCGCTGGTTTAGGCCGGCGCCTTAGGTACTAGTGTTTATATGTTTTATGTTTTTGTGAGTTATTTTTGCCCCTTCGCTTTTAACGGAGGAGGCCACACCACGTTGTGAATCAGCTCTTGATTAATTTCGGGCTGATTCACAACGTGGTGGTGTGAGTTTTAGAGACGGCGTGGGCCGCCCTGAAGTAATACCTCACGGTAGTTCCAGGGCGGTCACAATTGCGCCGGTCGGAAAAAAAAAAAAAAAAAAGGGGACTATGCCGTTCGTCATATCCCCCCCGGCCGTTTACACCGCCCGTCCACCTATGACTGGGTAAACCTACATCATGTGGGTGGGGGGACTATGCATTTCACCATATTTCCTCGGTCGTTTACACAGGCCGTCCACCTAGGGACAGGAAACGGCCGGGGTCGTTTTGGGGGGTATCCAGCTCATACTTTACATCCCTACTATGCTCAAAAATTTCCTTTTTAATTACTTAATTTGTTTTAACCCGTTGATCTAGATTTTTTAGTACACACAAAATTGTAATTGAAATACTAAATTTATTGGAAATATATTAAATGTCTTAAAGTCATGACCATTAGATTCTTCAAATTTAGTTTTTTATAGTGCGTATACTATACGTCGATGATTAAATAATGAAGTAATAATGTCACACCAGAATGTCCTACCCAGATTAATAAACTAATAAAACTCTAAGACCTACCATATTACAGTTCAAGTGATTTCACTATGAGTTAATTATAAATAAATAAAAAAACATTTTATAATGTTAAAGGTAATTTTAATAAATATGAAGTATACATATAATACTTTAAATTAAAAGTTAATAAACATTAAATTTTACCAATTACTTAGAATCACTTGGAAATATTTAAAAATCTGTTATATAAATGACTTGTCATATTTTTTTAAGATTTGTATTTAAATCTCTAATGTATTAACAATAATTTTGAATAGTTATTTTATTTTCTTAAAATGTATTAAGTTAAAAATTATTGGATTACATTTAATTTGAGAGAATCTAATTTACTTATATCTTCTGATAGAATAGTTATTGCAGATTCTACTTCAGAACTTTCGCCATTATACATTTTTAGGTTTTCAAGTATGTGATAAATTTTCATTTTTTCTGAACTTTTATATATTACGTTTGAGGACGATTCACCTAATTCTTTGTTTTCCATATATTCATTTGAATAGATAATGGCTAGTTCTGTAAAAGGTAGATATCTACAACAGTTTTGGACTCGTATTCTACATTCAATTTTTCCATTTTTATCATAATATGGTCCTGTCCTTTTATTATAAAAACTACAAACATAATCGCTTATAATACTTAAAATATAATTATAAGTTTTTTCACATTCGTTTATAATTTTGTCTTGTTTATCTTGTATTAACTCTTGCCAATCTTTAAATTTTTGATCAAATTCAGTCGTGAAAATATTTGAATACGCTGTAATAATAAAAACATTTCGTTTAGTTGTGTGATAAAACCTTTATTTATGATGTCCGCAAAAGATAATTATTATAATTTCAATACAAGTTGTAAAAAAAAATTAGAATCATCAAATATTGTAAAATGAGTAGGGAACAACACACAAGAGTAGGGGACCAAATTAAAAAAGAGGAGAATTGATGGTTTGACCACGACCGTCTCCGTTAACTTTTGTATTGATTAGTATTTCATTATTTTGTGTGCGTTTTGTATGTGTTACCAAGGCTTAAAACCGGTTATCAGTTATAACCGAAAACCGGTAAAAAACCTTTTTTTTTTTGAGAACCGGAACCTCTTGAGGGTTTTTTTTTTTAAATAAAAGTGGTAATTAATTATTGATTACCGATTTAATTTTATAGATGTTAACCTAGAATCATAGAACATAAAAGTATTTAAACGGTTAAAAATCGGTTTTAAACGATTAACGGTTACCTTTAAAAATTAAAACCGATTATTAAGTGATAAGCGGTTAACAATAAATATGAAAATAGATTTCAAATCGATTACCAGTAACCATGTATATTGTAACAAGCCACTTATTGATAACCGGTTTTACAAATTTCACGGTTATTAACAAAAACAATAACCCTTTTTTTTGATACCGGTTTTAAGCCTTGTGTGTTACCATTATATTTTACAGCACAATTATTTATAAATGTTATAAGAGTTATTATTGCTATTATTTTATAAAAATAAATAGCAATTTTTAATAAAATAAATAGAAATACAGTCGGGTTGGCTGGTCCTTCAGACAATGTTAACAATTAGTTTTGTGAGCTGACTAGTCTTTGACCTAAATCCTCCATTAGTTAGTGGAGTGTGAAGATAGTTGTGCTGGTGCCTATCAAGGGGTCACACTTCAGTCTGCTACTTTCGAAATAAAAATATTTTCATTAATTTTTTTTTTTAAAGTTATGGCAGTTTTAAGAAAAAAAAAATTCAAAAATAACCGATTAAACAAAAAATCATAATTTTTTGGTAGATTTCTTCTATTAAAAATTTTTATTTTTTGAAGGTGATGTCTTCAACGAACTATGATTTTGGGATGTATTGACGTATCATTGAGAAAGTGAGAGTTGAGATAAAGTAGTGACAGACACAGGAAAAAAAAAATAAACAAACACATCTAGGTAAAATAAATACCTTCTCAGCATCGCATTGAAACTAAAAAAATTAATAATTAATAAAATGAGAAGTACATAATATTAAAAAATACCGAAAATAATTTTTTTAATAAAATTATTATTTTAAGAGAAATCGAGTAAATATTATCAAAAGAATCACTCCTTATACAACAGCTTTATTACTTTTTATAATTTCTCCTTGAAATTTACAATATTAAATTATTCAACATCAATTTTATTTTATTTCTGTAATTATTATTTGTGGGACGGTGTGACCGAGTCGGTAACGCGGCAGTGCTTGACGCGCACTGTCTCAAGTTCGAAACTCGATTACGGGCGGCTTCATTTACCGAACAAGAGATCAGTTTGGTAATTAGAGTCGCCATCCCACTCTACGGCGACGGACTAACCACCCGTCCCGGAGAATAAAATGGTTAAGAAACCTCCTCCTTTGGGGAGGCCACTATGGCCCTTAATGGGTTAATAAAAGCGTAAAAAAAAAATTATTATTATTATTTATTTATATATTATATTTATAAATCAAAGAACTATTAAACAAGACATAATTAAGTAAATAGGAATTGACCTTGCTTTTGGAATAATCCACCAATTTTTTAAAGTTAAACAGTGTTTAACTGTTGATAGTGTATATTAATATACACTATCTATTGATTTGTTTGTTATGTTTTTAGTAATTTTAATTACTGACAGATATCATCTATATTTCACTGTAACTCACTGTGTTACCGTTTTTTTATTATTCATATTTTTTATAATCATAGTAAATATCAAATTTATAAAAATAACATATTCAAAGTTACTTAAGTAAACCTATTTTTTTTTTACTTTAAATAATGAATGGTCTAGATAATATATTGTCTTTTAGATAACTAATTTTGTATTATTGCTTTTTAGATAGTAGTATTTAAAGATTTAGTAAAGATGAAGAGCAAGATAATGTTTATCGATGCTCTATTTTTACCATAATGCACAGACAAGAATTCATCTAAATTGTTTTTAACCCGCTCACCTATAACTAAAAGTTATATTAACCAAAAAATAATATTAGAAAACTGTATATCGTTCATTCAAAATTTTATTTAGACTATTCTCCATTTTACTATAAAAATAATAATAGTTTAACTATCAAATAGTCCTCAGAAATCTTTTTTCTTATGTAAAACGTAATATTTAATAAATTTTATAAAAATAAAATAAATTTTCTTTAACTCAATCAGTGTTTATCCAAAAATTAGTATTGACTCATTAAAATTTTTTGTCTAAAAAGGTCTAAAAATTGACATTTTCAAGATTTTGAACGAATATAAAATAAGTTTTTTTTTTTTTTAATTAGTGTTAAATATTAAGAAAAAATATGCTTTTAACGAAGTCCAAAACTATAAAAATTATTAGCAAACTACATTTTGAATAAACAGTTTTTAAAGATCAAATCATGATGGAACACTTGTACATATGTGTTGTGTATTTAATGAGAACAATTATAGACAGTAATAAATTAAGAAATTCTTTTTAAGAAATGCTATTATTATTTGCATAACCAGAAAATATGTTTAAAATATTTTTATAAAATCACTAAGAAAAATAGTTGATGAGAAAAAAATAAAAGATCTTGAATTTAATATTTGACTAAATATTACGACAAATTTCAAGAATAACTTTACTAATATTCTGAAATTATTAGGAACGGGCGCCCTAAAATATGTCTGTACAGTAGAACTCCAATTATCCGAATTAATGGGGACCGGGACCCATTCACTGACTAATCAAAATAAACAATGACAGGTGACTGCAATGCGCCGGAACTGGAGTGGGAACTCTTACCACGTGTTGTGCCTACACTGACGCCGCGGACTTTGGACAAATTTTTTTCTGATTTTTTCTGAAAGTGATTCGGATAATCGGCGATTCGGATGATCGGAGTTCGGATAATTGGAGTTCTACTGTATNTACTACATTACACAATGTTTATCAGGACATTCCTGTTTCCTTCATACTTGCATATATTCGTAACACATAAACGGGTTGCAAGTGCCGAATGAGTGCAGTGGCGTAATCAAAGTTTCATTTTGGGGAGTATTTATATAAGAAAAATCCACGTCCCAATTTTACCATATAATTATTTAGTCATGAGAGGATTTGATAAAATATGTGTAATTTGATGACAGAAAAATTCTTGGAGATTTATAAAAACCAAAAGAAAAAGATGGAGGGATATGACAACAAAATAACCTTATAATTACACCATTGAATGAGTATCGTACGGGCGGAGGCAAAGTAGAAATTTTTATGAATATTGTTGCCAAATCGGATATAATAATTTGAATCATGATGAAAAATCAAAAACATTTTGGAGGGGGTTGTGAGATAAATTTCCTGTATTTTACAGATTAAGAAAAAGAAGGGACATTAATTTTAGGTGAAATAGGGTTTGGGCAGTTTTTAATGCGCATTAAAACTTTAAAATTCAAATTAGGGAAGAGATTATATAGGTTTTTGGGATATTTTTTTTTTTGATATTAAATCAAAGATGTTTTTGAATTTTAATATATACATTTAAAAGCATTCATATAAAAATACGACCGACATATTCATTATTCATAAATTGCATACTTCATAAAATGCAATATATTTGAATACATATTTCACTTATAATTACCTAAAAATTATAATGTTCTAAGTGCACTACAGTGCAAAAATAACGTTAAATACAATTATTACCTTTATTAATGATTTTTTCATGAACCAAATTGTTATTAATGAAACAAGAATGTACATATCCTTTTGATATTCCATAAAAGTTTTGGCTAATATCCGTAATCGACGACAGTTCATTTTTAAATGATGTTAGATTTATCTATAATATATAAGTAAATTATTCATTGCAAAATCATAAAATTTTTGTTTTATTTCGAAATAAATAACTCTGTGGCTATTTTCTTAAAACAGATTGAAAAAAGAATAACCATTTTTTAGATGAGCAAAACCAAACCTTTCTTAATCAATTAATCATTTCCAGACAGATGAAATAATATGTCCTATTCAAAATTATTAATGAGTTATAAAAATTTTGAAAATCCAATTCTGTTATTTATCAGCTAGTTAATTAATAAATGAAACATAAAATTTAAAAGCTTTAAATATTACTTACGGCTGTACAGCAACATAAGAACATTAAAATAACCGATAATTTTATATAATTTTCCATATTTTATGAAATATTACAAAAACTATTCAATATTCGTGGTAGTAATCTTAATGGCCTTTCTATTGAATATAATGTTAAAGACTATATTTATATGTTTTTTTTTAGAAATTGAACTATGAAAAAATAAGTACAGATAAATAAAGAAACATGTGCTTAAATAAGTATAAAAATAGCATTATCTAAAAAATTGTTTGGTTGATAGGCGTAAAACAAAACAAAAATTAAGCAATGAAACATTTTTATTTTGACATCCCATTAAATATTTTATTATCACACAATAAATAATATAAAAAACCCAGCACAGGGGGGTCGCGGCACAGTGGTGACGTGGCATAGATGGATCAAGTATAATGATATCTGACAGTGATTAAAATCACTATAAAAAAAAAACGCTTCGATGCAAATCTTTAGATAGTGTTTAATTTAAAAATATTGGTGGATTATTCTAAAAGTTACATGATCTGCTAGTTCATTATTAATATCCTAATTAAGATAAAGTATGTCGAATGAAAAAGGGATTATTAAAAAATATTATTTCTTATAAAAAAATAATGTTGATCCATACACTTTTAAATATGTCATAGCAATATAAAGTTAAAAATGTAAAAAATAAAATCGAGAATTTTCACATATTAATAGCATTTGGTAGCCATTTTCACCGTGAAGATAAAATAAAGTCCGAAATTTTTTTTTCGCATAATAAAGTAGATTACATTAACTTTAATTTAAGATATAAATAAAAGTGTCAGACTTTCCGGAACAGTTTCAAAATTTAAGTTGAAAAAGTAAATTTTTTGTGAAAAAGTTGTCATTTTAAATTCTTCCTTGTGGGCAGGTTAAAGGTTAAATTTATGAAAAAAATATACCTAATGAAAGATAATGATATTATGCATCTATATAAAAATGAATTATATTGATATGTTTATTTTTGAAAAAGTTATGGCAGTTTTAAGTAAAAAAAATTGATAAAATTTCGAAAATTAGCGATTTTTAAATTTGTAATTTTTTTGGAGGTTTCCCCCATTTACGGGGAACGAGGGAATTTTTTTCAATTGTTGAGGGTAATGTTTTCGACTAGATACAATTTGTGATCTTTTGACATATCATTGAAAGAAATCGGTTCTGTGAGAGCTGAGAAAAAGTGGTAACAGACACAAAAAAACACATCTTAGTAAAACCAATACCTTCTCAGCTTCGCATCGAAGCTAACAGTGAATGTAACATAAAGTTTTGATGACTTTAATATTATCTAAATTACATGATACTTTTTTCGTTATTTTTCTTCAAAATGGCAGTAATAGGTATATTTTGAATATGTAATGTTTATGTATAGTGTTTTCTTAAATACACCTCATGAAATGTCTTGAAAATATCAAAGTTCATTATTATTTAATTTTTTTATTAAAAATTATCAAAAGATTAAAGATTCATTTATTGTTTAAAAATAAAATAATGATTAACTCTTATATTTTCGAAAATATTGATGAGGTGTCGTTAAGGGACATTCTATACACATCATTTATAATGAAATTACATGAAATGTTANGGGACATTCTATACACATCCTTTATAATGAAATTACATGAAATGTTAAAATTTATAATTAGTATTTTTTTTCATTTGTTTTTTAATTTGCAATAGTTCACATTTATGTAAAAATAACTTTTATTTTACAGTTTTTCATTTTATAAATTGGTCGTAAAAAATACAAACAAAAATAGTTAATAACTTTGAATATTTTTGACAGCAAATATAATTAGAAAACATTAAGAATATTATTGTAGTCAATTTATTTAACAACTCAGTGCTTATTTAAGTAATAGATGATATAAAAATATTTTCTTAAAATATATATTGAAATACTTAATTTATTTTAGTAATATCATATGATGAAAATAGAGTAATTTTATTTGGCACATTATTCATAAACTCAAAAGATATAAAAAATAATTCAGTGTGCTAAATGTAATTTCTTCCTATTTTAATATAATTTATAAAATCATAAATGTGTTTTTTTTAATATTATTGGAGAGTTATTGACAGTTCTTATAGTGTTAAACAGCCAAGCAGAGAAAGATAAATAAAGTACTGATAAATAAAAAATACGCAAATGATGTGTTCTATAATAATGATTACGTCATTTTAGTAACAACAAAAATTTTTTAAATTTAAATTTTTCAAATTTAATGATAATTTACGTAATGTGGTTAATGTGTAAAATTAAATTTGACAGAATCAAATTTAATACAAATATCGACTACAATAAATTAAAATCAACTCAAAAAATAAACGTTTAGTGTTTAATTTAAAAAAATTGGTGGATTATTCCAAAAGCTACATGATCTGCTAGTTCATTATTAATATCCTAATTAAGATAAAGTATGTCGAACGAAAAAGGGATTATTAAAAAATATTATTTCTTATAAAAAAATAATGTTGATCCATACACTTTTAAATATGTCATAGCAATATAAAGTTAAAAATGTAAAAAATAAAATCGAGAATTTTCACATATTAATAGCATTTGGTAGCCATTTTCACCGTGAAGATAAAATAAAGTCCGAAATTTTTTTTTCGCATAATAAAGTAGATTACATTAACTTTAATTTAAGATATAAATAAAAGTGTCAGACTTTCCGGAACAGTTTCAAAATTTAAGTTGAAAAAGTAAATTTTTTGTGAAAAAGTTGTCATTTTAAATCCTTCCTTGTGGGCAGGTTAAAGGTTAAATTTATGAAAAAAATATACCTAATGAAAGATAATGATATTATGCATCTATATAAAAATGAATTATATTGATATGTTTATTTTTGAAAAAGTTATGGCAGTTTTAAGTAAAAAAAATTGATAAAATTTCGAAAATTAGCGATTTTTAAATTTGTAATTTTTTTGGAGGTTTCCCCCATTTACGGGGAACGAGGGAATTTTTTTCAATTGTTGAGGGTAATGTTTTCGACTAGATACGATTTGTTGTGACCTTTTGACATATTGTTCATCAAAATCGATTATTAGCTTCGCGTTGAAGCTAAAAGGACTAGTTGATACAACTAATAGAGCAGTATTTCTGAAGTTATTGCCTTGTATCTACACACGAACAGTACCAGATAAACTAAATTAGTAACACTACACAACGAATATTAAAATGTCAACAAAAATAATATTTAATATTTATCAAATAAAACGCGCTCTAATCTCATAAATTCACGATATATAGGTAAAACCCACGTCACTCCCTGCATTTACTACTCGTATGAATATATACATATATATTAATATCGATTATAGAAATTATAAATATCTAAATTCCAAAAGTAATTTTACTTATTGTACATTGTATTCTACAATCTTCATCAAAACTATATTTTTAATGCAAATTATAAAATATATGCTATTAAATCTAGAAATAATCAATATATGAATTTATATGCACAAAAACGTCAAATATGCAAAATAATATTACATAATTGTAAACTAGACTACATTAATCGAATTTATATTATACTTGGGTTTAAATAAATTTATATAATAATATATTAAAAGTATTATTTAAATACTTTTTTTTTTACATCAAAAGTACATTTAATCTCTTATTAAAGTAATACAAGTGACGTCGAATGAACCTAAAACGCGTTATAAAATATTGAGATGTTTGAGTCGTGTTTTTAGAAGAGAAAAAGTTAAGACAGAGAAATTAGTAAATAATTTGAATGTAGTGGAAATGAAGATAGAAGAGAGATCGAAAAAAAATTAATTAAATTAAATGAATTATATGATAGAAAGGGATATGAAAATTGCTGATGAATATGAAAAAAGTGCAAAAAAGCGAGTATTTTTAAAGGTGGGACTATTTAAGTTAACCTCAAATAGTTTGATTAGAAATAAAAATGTTTAATTTCTCTATATTTGTTAAAGGCAATGTTAGACTATTTTATATTTTCTTGGTTTTTAAAAAGATTTTATGCAAATTTTGGGTGCTATCCATAATATATGACGTATTGAAGCACTACCAATTAAAGAGAAATACAAAATTCTACATAATATAATATATCATTTTATGTATACAATATATTTTAATTATTTTTAAAAAAATGTATAAATTCAAAAAAAAACAAATATTTATTTAAACTTGAATAGTCATTGATGTTTTCTGAATATTTTGTATACAGTCAATAAACAAGATTCCGTACATGTCTCGATGAATAGGTTTATCTAATATTATCTCGTACAAAAGTAAAACATAATGATAATATGAAATTAATATTTTTTCAATTTAATACATTTTTTTTTTATAATTTTCAATCTAAAAAAGATAATAACAATGAAAATTGTAACCAAAGTATTTTTGATAAGAGGGTATTAAAGTAAAAACTATTCAAAATAAAAATATATAAAACATTTAAGACATTAATCATTCTAATTATCTATTTACCAGTGTGTATCTTAATAGTCAACTATTGGCGGACTCGACTAAAGTGCACTACAATAAGATGCCAATTAATTTAATAATATTTCATATGACAATGTTGATCGTTGAGTTCTGCACTATTTAGCAATGAGCGAGTAAGCGAGTGGTACAATTCTTACCATTTACTAAAGATAATAAATATTTAATTAATTTTTTTGTTTAATGGTATAAATTAGAATATTCTATAAAAATTGTATCTTTTTTTTTTCTAAAAAAAATTTTCGATCCTAATAAATATTATAGTATTTAAAAAATAGAAATTGAAATATCTAATCAGGATAGAAAAATAACATATTAATTTTTTTCTAAACTAATAGAAATTAAAATTTTTTTTCTTTTTTATTAAATTATTTTTATAATAAACAATCTTTTGATTTAGAATTAAATTTACTAAAAAAATTAATTTATTTGATATTTATATTTAAATTAGAATAAATCAATCGCATAGCATGTATAGGATTTAAAAAAATTTACATAATGATGACAAATATCACTTTGAAATATTTCATACTTAACAATTGATTCTTGATTGAAATGAAATGGAATTATTTGGATCATTGTAGTTGAATAATGCTTGATATAGAATGGCTTGACTCAAATTGAATTGAACGGCTTGTAAGA